CCACAAATCTGCTGCCGAAGGCACTGCTCATACGAGGGAGGGGAAATCACACACGGCATCTGCTATAACACACCAGGAGCCGTCAGGCTTCCTGGCCTTCTCTGGCTGTAGTCTCGGCTACAAGCACACACAGCATCCACCCCCAGGATGCACTAGCTCTGGGATTGGCAATTTTATTCTGTTGGGGGTAATCGCCAACCCTCAGGGTTTCTGTCTGCAGTCACTCCAACACTCGGCCTTCATGGCCACCCATGCGACTCACAGACCCCTGCTCTCAAGCCAACCCACTGCACAAGCACATGGGTTGGGGATCCAAACTTTGCATTTGGCTTGGGCTCCACCCCAAGCCACATTCCCCACCCGTCCCCAAGGACGGGCTCCTCAGCTCCTCACCCTCACTCAAGAATGAGCAGGGCATCACCATAGGTGATTTTACGAGACTCACAGGGCTTCAGCATACCCAGGCTGCTTAACAGCCGCTTTAGGGCTTCTCAACTTAGCATCAGTACCAGCTTTTGCCACCTTAGTTGGCTTTTTTCCTCCACCTGGCCACTGGGCATACACAGGCTGCTTTTGGCCATCTAGGCCCACTGGCCACCCCCAGATTCTCAAAAAATAAACATAACCTGCTAAGGTCCTCCGCCTTCTGGCGGGATTGTCAGTCCAAAATCATCAGTTCATCAGTCTATCAGTCCATTGGCCTCTCCCTGCTTCAGCAATGGCCTGCTGCCTCAGGGGTCATTGGCTGGTCCTTTACGGTGTCGTTGGCTGGTCCTATCCGGTGTCGTTGGCTGGTCCTTTCGGTGTCGTTGGCTGGTCCTTTCGGCGTCTCCTTCACGCCAGGTCTCATCCTGTAGCTCGTGGACGTATCCATCTTCTATACCGCCATGGTGCCTCCAGCGTCGTCACAGGCAAAGTCTGTTCTCCTTAGTCCCTCCAGGTCTTCGGAGGGCTCCAATACCCGTCTGCATGGATCTTGCCGACATACGCCAATTGTAAAGGCAGGACAGGGCACAAGGCAGGTTTTCTGATCCCATGCAGATCGGGTAAAGGAGGAGTCAGAGTCCTCAGTAGTTTTGCAGGTTTTTTATTTGGGGTTCACCAGGCATATGGCAGGCAGGGGTGCTGGGGGGCCGGGAGGCTGGCAGGCCTCCCAGCCCCCAGCAAATCCTCACTCTATCTGGGCTCTCTGGTGATCTCGGCTTCTCTTTCGACTTCTGCTTCGGCTTCTGGCTGCTGCTGCTGCTGGTGCTGCTGCTGGTGCTGCTGGCGTCCCCCGTGACGCCGCCTTAAAAGCACAGTCTTAACTCAGCTGAATCCCATCTACCTATGCCACACCTATTCCAGGTGCCCGCCATCAGGCATGCATTCAGGACAAAGGATCCATCATCTATCCTGATGGCGGGAGGGCAGAAAAGCCTGATATTTTCTTTACCCTACAATCCTCAATGCTAAGAAACCTAATTTCAGAGAGGTAGAAAGCCTTATTTTCATTTCTTCAGTATATTTTCCTAACTTAAAGTACAAATTTTAAAAAGTATCTTATATGTTTTAAATTATTATTCTATCTTTGACTTTTATAAAATTTTATCAGGGAAAATTAAGTCTAAAAATTCACATTTACTTTAAGAAGCTTCTAGCAGATTCAGTGTATGCAAAACATTTATTTTTATTCTGCAAAGTGTTGAGGGGGACTATTTTTAAATAAGACATTTTATGAATATGATACTCTCACACTTCAGTGTTAGTGCTAAGGGAATTAGCCTGTAGGAAAGAGAAAAGACATTCCTCAACACACAGCGCAGCAGTTATTAGCAGAATCTCCCTGAGTCCAGCACCAACTGTGTTTCTGTTACAAAATAGTTCCATCTGCTTTTGCCCCTCAAGTGCCCTTTTAAATAGGCACCTTATTAACTTAGCTGTGGATACTGCCAGGATATTTCTTGAATGATTAGCACAAGTTGCCTATGTTATAGTCTACATAGCACCTGAGAAATTAGCAAGGAATCATATTTAACACTGGGATAAAATGGTAATAACTGCAGCTCCCGGAACTATATGATGCATCGATTTATTGAGAACTGGATGTCTATGCTTGAAACTACTTTGAGAATGTTGGGGATGCTGGATAATGCTTCAGAATATTTCAGACACCTCCCACCTGACAATTTCAGAAATGCTGCCCATAAGCAGCACCTTACTAATAACTCCAGTTCAGATGGTGTGTGAGCTCTGGTGGCCTCCTTTTCCTCAGTTCCTGTGCTTTCCCCACCAACCAGTTAAGCAGCCCACCCACAAAGAACTGTTTCGCCCCAGCTGCTTCCTCTTATCCGCTTACTGTTATGGGCCCTGTGAGAGAATACTCTATTGTTCCATAATAGGAACTAATTTTTACTGTAGGCACATTACAGTCATTGCATGATTAAGTAATGTTATATTGTGAACCTGTTAAAAAAAAAGTCAGCTGGCCTCAGTTTTCCCCTTGTATTTGAGGGGAGTCAATAGTGACCACATATCAAAATCACTGGTGGGAGGTAGGGCAGAGGGGAATTAAATGCTAATGACAGGGTCCCACTCCAGACCAATAAATCACAAGATTTGGTAATGGGTGTTTCTTATAAGCGTCCCAGGTGATCCTAATATACTATGAAGATTGGAACCACCAAGCTGAATTACATGCTATGGCTTATAATCTTCGGTCTTGGATATTAGCTGTAAACTAGGGAGGTTTGTTAAATTACATCGAGCTCTGAAATCAAATAATGTGGGTTAAAATTCCCATTTTGACTCTTAATAGCTCTGTAACCTTGAACAAGTTACTTAACTTCTCTAAGCCAGTTTGCTTATCTGTAAATGGTGCCTACCGCAAAGGATGGGACAAGGAACGCAGTTCCCTTAAGACTTTATCTTGTTCTTTGAGGTTTTAGTTATATATATAAATGCCAAGTAATAGGAAAAAACTGAGGACTTAAGTCAATTACCTAGCAATTATCTTTCCAAGTATCTAAATATTGGTTTAAGTCTAAATTTCAAAATAGGCATAGGTTAATATATCTGAAAGAATGTTCCAATTTCTTCTGGTTACTCCAAAATGCAAATAGGTAAGAGTGATTAAAAAAAAAACCCCACATCAAAAAGGAGGAGCAGCCAGCTACTAGGTCTGAACAGGCACATAAACTGGACTCTACACTACGATCTGCACTAAAGACCTTTAGTAGCTGTCAAAGAGACAATGGGCAAGAAATTGGAAGAACCAGGCAACACCATACTTTCTGTAATTTGCTGTCAGTGTCCCACGTGAAGGACTAATTTCATGGGGGTGCTAATGAAGTTTTGAATGAAATCAAAGTTTAGTCCAACGTCTGACAGCACAAATATTTGACCCAATCTAAAAGGCATTTATAAGCTAAACCCAGAGATTATTTTAACTGAAATAACTAGTTTACAACATTGTATGTGATTCAGAGGCACAAAATCACACATCCTCAGAGGCATGTCCTCATACCACACCCACCACCAAGGCACCCATTGTTCTCCACCATAGTCCCTTGTGCACCCTTCTCACCCTTTTGCTCCCCACCCACCCTCCCACCCTATAGTCCAGTCAGTTTGCTAGGGCCTATTACTGGTTTGGTGTTATCTGATCTTTTATCAGTGACACCATTAAGTGTTTGTCTTTCTCTTTTGGATTTATTTCACTTTGCATTATCCTCCAGTTCCCCAGGTTGTTGCAAATGGCATGAGTTCATCTGTTTTTTTAATAGTTGAATAAGTATTCTAGTGTGTGCATGTACACGCATGTGTGTATGGACCACATTTTTCTAATGCAGACCTCTGTCTTTAAAAACCCAGAGAACTTAAACTTCCACTCATGAGATTAACTCTAGGTTCAGCAAAAATAGTCTTTAAGACTATTCAGACTCTTTTCTATTTTTACTTATAGATAAGTCAAAAATTTCAACATCTGACATATACAAATACAGTAACTTCAATGTGGCAAACGTGAAAAACATGCTCACCAGTGTGTCATGTTGATTGACTGGAAGACTCATTTAGACGTTCATTCTCTCCAAATTGATCTTAGATTCAATAAATTCTAAATCCAGTCAGGCACTTATTTTATTTTTGGTAGAAACTGACCAACTGAGGCTAAATTACCAAGGGATTGCAAAATATCTAGAATAGCCAAAATAATCTTGAAGGGAAAAAAACCAAGTTAGAGAATCACCCTGAACCTAAAGTTGTCAATCATTTAACAAAAAGTTTGTCATGAGAAAGTGTCATCTTACATATCAGCCTATTGTTTAAAGTCAATTTACTATTTGCAGAACATGCAGATAATACACCAATAAGATTACATTTGTATTAAAGTTCTTTAGATACAGGATTCAAGAATGGGGAGCATGGGCCTCCCCAGTGGCGCAGCGGTTGAGCGCTGGGTTGCGAAGCCTCTGCGGCCTCTGCGGCCTCTGCGGCGCCGGTTCGATCCCCGGCTGCTCCCCAGACACCGCAGGAGGGTCCCACATGGCGCACAGACCTCTCCTGCCGCCCACTGCTCCCCTCAGCAGTGTATTTCGGTCCTTCTGCCTGCTCTGCTCCCCGCTCTGGCTCTGGTGAATTCTCTCACCCTCCCGCACTTCTGACTGTACCCAGTGCATGTATAAACAAACAAACAAACAAATAAATAAAAATTCATGCCTCTTTTAAAAAAAAAAAAAAAGAATGGGGAGCACTTGCATGCAAATCACCCTTTAAGAATTTCTCTAAAATGCCAACATATGGATTTCCCCACACCTACTGAATCCAATGCTTAGAACTATGCTCCAGGAATTTCTATTTTAAAAAGCTTCCAGGCATACATTGATGTATTCTAAAATTTGGAAACCACTCTCCTAGAATGCATTACATTTTTTCCTGAACAAGAGTGATCTTTCCTATATTCATGTGAAGAGATGCTATCTTAACACAATTTTGATATCAATGAAGAGGGTAAGACTTACCTTTTCTTGTGGATGGTTAGCTATGAGGTCTGTAGCCCTTTTGGTAAATATGTTTGTTGAATACATATTTTTATATCCTGTTGCTACTTCTTCACCCTCTCGAAAATCAAGAGCACATCGAGTAACATTCAGAGCATTGATTAATGTACAGCGCTCGTGGGAATAGTAATCTTCACTACCCAGGAGATAGCCTACAAGAATGGGAGATGAAAGTAGTCAGCATCACAAACAACTTGCTAAACAAACTAATGTTTCAGCATTTAATTGCCTAATGCAATTGATCACCCGTGACAAGGCTAATCAAATGACAAGGTTAATCAGAACAGCATCTTAACATCTCTATACTTGATAGCAGAAGGCATTAAAAGGTAACTGGATAAAAATTCAAATCCATTCCTCTCTCAAGTCTTTAGAACATAAGGCTCTATCATGTAACTCTCAAAGTGGGTGATTTCAAATAATATGATTTAAAAATAACAGTTCAAATTTAGTAAAGGTGATAATATTTTAATCTTTTAAATCTATCTAGTGGCTAAAATAGCATATGGCTAATGTGATATTTGAAGTTGTTACTCTGAGATGATCACATAAATGAACTCAGGATTCAAAACAGTGTTGATATTGACCTTGGGAGACTGGCTTCAAGGTTATTTATGGAAGCAGCTCCAGAAGGAATCATCTGTAGTCAGATGCTGACACCCACTGGTGAAAGACACAAACATTTACAAAGAGAGGATCTCTAGGCAACTAAACAGAGCCAAAGATGGAAATGATGTGCAGCACTGTAATTAGATTTTTCTACCTACGGTGACCTTATTTTCACTCTATATTTAAATGGCATCAACTGCTTATCAACCACAATTTGGACTTTAAAATGAAAGGAATAGTTGCTTCTGCACATGCTCTATATTTTCCTAAAATATTAAAGTAAAGTAAGCTGTGCTGCATATTATGATTCCATTTATATGAAATGTCCAGAATAAGCAAATACATAAGGACAAAAAATAGCTTTGTGGTTGCATAGATCTGGCCAAGTTGGTGGGAAAGGGAGAGACTGCTAATGGGGTTTCTTTTGAGGACAAAGGAATGTTCTACAATTAAACTGGGATGGTAGTCACCCTGTGAATTTGTTTAAAATCACTGAATAGGATACTTTAATTGGGAGAACTATATGGTATGTGAATTATCTTAATAAAGCTGTTAAAAAGAAATAGCTCTGATGGAATTTAATCTATCTTCTGCTTGTTAACCTCAAAATGAGGATGATAAAGCATCTGAGATTGCTCCAGGACAATCTTGACAACAAACTCCTTGGAGGAGGAGGCTTCAAAGCATAAAAGAGGCATTTCAAACAAAATGCATATTCAACCCAATGCATAATTTGTTCCCAAGTGAAAAAGAAAAAAAAAAAAAAAGGATAAAACAGGCCTAGTTCTTTCCACAGGACTTAACTTTCCCTATGAAAACTCTCACACAACTTTTATAACAAGTTAATTTCCTCCTTTTCCATGATCCAGCAAATTTAAGGTCCTGAAAACAGTGGATACCTTGATATGAAGATAAGTTTTTAAGAGACAATTTTTTCTCTTATGTATAAAACAAAAAGGGAAAGCCAATGTGTTGGTAATTAGTAGTGACAGAGAAAGAAAAGTATACATAAAAATCATCTCAGCCTGTTAAAGGGGTGAGGACACTCGGTTATTATTTGGGTTTTTAATAAGTAGGTATTAGAGATTAAGGAAATTACTTCAGGCTCTTTATCCAAAATTGTTTTCTATCATTTGGGAGAATATATTCATAGGATACACTTGGTTAAAAGATGTATGAACTATAAATAGTAATAAGATATTACAAATAGGAAGAGTTAAGAATTATTTATTCACATACTTTGCCAAATTTGTACCAAGCTACCACATGACAGTCATATGGCACTTTTCTTAACACAGTGATTCACAAATGAATGTCTATGCGGAACCTAAAGAAGATGACAGCCTATGTTTTTCCAGAAAAAAATGAGGAAATAATTTTTAAGCAGTCAAATTTTGACTTCTTTATTTAACAGCTTTACTGAGACATAATTTATATACCTTACAAGTTACCCATTTAAAGTGCACAATTTAGGGACTTGAACGTATTCACAGAGTTTACAATTAGCCTCACTATCTCTGACTTCTTTGGAATAGAACATCCGAATCATACCAATGACAACAGCTGCATGGCCATTTTATTTTCTTTGTCTCCAAATGTCCATTCCCTGAATATGGGGTGCTTTCACTGAACTCCTATTAGACTTTTTAATACTATTAGAAGGGTATCATTTCTACTTTCTGTCCAACTGAATTTTATATAACTTGGCTTTTAATAAAAATTTTAAACAGGGCCTCCCCAATGGCACGGTGCCACCATCGCAGCCTCTGCAGCGCTGGTTTGATTCCCAGCCTGCCAGGGACATTCCCACACTCCTGTCTCGCCTGCCGTGCCCCTCAGCGGTATATTTCAGTCATCTCGGTTGTCTGCCTGTTCTGCTCCCCGCTCTGTCTCTGGTGAATCTTCTCGCCCTCCCACGCCTTTGGCCTGTACCCTAGCTCTTGTATAAAAATAAATAAATCTTAAAAAAATTTTTTAAATAGCTATAGTCTTCTTCTTCCCAGAGTATAAGCAGTGACCCACATTTTAGCACAGACATGATTGAAAATTGTCAAAGGTTGCTTTTTCCTCTAGAATTTCCAAGTTGACAAAGAGGACCTGTATACAAGCCTGATTTTTATCAGCTACTTGAAGACACTGAGGATATACCCGGGTTCATTAAGAAAGAATACCATGACTAATTAGCAGTGTCTACAGGAGGACCCAAATGGTGTCATGTCTGATGTCCTTGTATCTTGATCTTAACCCTGCATCCAACAAGCACAATAGAAATGTGTTTTTCCACTGCACTGTTTTGGGCACCATATAATCATTTTTACCAAATGCACTTTGGTGTTTAGGCCCTAACTTGAATAAAAGGGAATGACTTGAGAAACATCCATGAGAAAATCACTTTATTACTGAAATGATGTATTTGAGGCTGCTGTCCACCTTACCTTCTCATAAAGAAGAAATTTCACTTATGTTTAAGAGCCAGAAAAAATGTTTTACTCTTCCTGAACATCTGGTTTCCATTTATCTTATAAATAATGTGATTCTTACAGCCGTTTCCTTTTTTTCCCCCTTTGGACATAGGAAATCTCGAATCTCAGAGTTGAATTCAAAGCTTGCCAAGAGCCAGACAGGTTTTTGTAATTCAATAGCTTGAAACTATTTCATCTTTTTCTATTTACCACTATTGTTTATTCTATTTATTTTAAAACTTTTTATGCTCAGTGTGTGTTCCTTTTTGGATATGGCAGGTTGTAAATAAATAGACAAATGAGAGGTAAGTAGGTAGCTAAATAGCTAGACAGAAAGATAGCTCAATATGAAAAGAACTTGACAGAAAGACATACAGCCACTGACAAGATACATAGGTTAAGACATGATTTATAACAGATATAAAGAGGGCACTAAACAAACTTTAGTTTTCACATTTATTTTTATAGAGCTATCAACCCATAAAACACTTCCTTATTTCTTATTATGCTTCCTATTGCCACTTGTTATTAATCCTTCCATTCTATTTTTTTATTTACTTTCTCCAATCTCCTGATTTCAAAAGCATATTACACAGAAGGTGGGAGGGGGAGATGGAAGGATGCTAATGGAAAAGTATTTTCTCCACCATCTCCAGGGGGGAAAAAAACAACCTTTAAACAAATTCCATGGGAAGAAAAAATATTCTGAATCTCTGTGATGGAAATATTCTTGTATTGGATTTGGCCTAAAAAACAAAATCAATCTGTACCCCTTTCAGTAATAAGGCTCTCTGAGAACACAATGGTCTCAGATGTGGAGGTAGCAAACTCTTCACAGGCTCCAATATGGCATTCGGTACCCTGACCAAGGTAACTGCTGCCTGGGAGCTCCTGCCACCTGGGGTGAGGAGCCACATTTATGGAGGGGGCATAAGAAAGCCTCCCCTCCGTGGTGTTAACCGATTCACTCTGTGTTCATGTTGCCAGACATTTCATTTGATTACACTTGGGTGTGTTTTATGAGATGGCTACAGTTAGCCTGGTTGTTAAAGAAACATGTGCATTTCCATTACCAAAGTAGGTATCAAATCCTCTGCGGGTTGGAAGGCATTCTTTCCGATACATTCCCAGGTGCCATTTTCCGACCATATGGGTAATGTAGCCTGCTTCTTTTAGAAGCTGGGGCAGGAGTTTTTCATCCAGAGGAACGCAGCTGGGCTGACAAGGCCAGATTATTTGGTGCTGTAAACCCGTGTGGATCTTAAAGAAATAAACATAAAATTATAGATTAATAAACTGAAACATTCCCAGCAAACAGATAAAATGACTGCCTAATTTATTAAACATATCTATAGACCTGGATGTTTAACTCTATTTCCATACTGGTTTAAGGATATTTCTGAAAGGTACTTTATTCACTTATTCAAATAAGGTAATGAGTATAATCAGGAGTGGGAGGGAGGAAGGAATAAACACTCTTAATAACTGCTAGATATTTTCAATAAATTAAACATATATTAAAGTGATATTAGAAATTATTAAGTACTTACTTCCCACCTCAAAAAGGCAGCCATAATACGAGATGTGGATTTATCAAGGAAAAGCATTCAATTTCTGTGACATGAAAAGTAGGTGTTTGATGAGGAGGACTGTCTAAAATCTTTCAAGACTGTGATTTTTTTTATGGGTTATTCAACAGTATAATAAAAGTGACGATCCCATTTCTCATCCCACTTTATAAAAACCATAATTTCAAAAGAAAGCAACCAATTTTTCCTTTCTCCCCATCTGCACCCACAGGCTGGGAGGGGCTCATATAAATATGTCCAGGGTGCAAGGTCCACACAACAATTAGCTTTTAAAAAACAACCACTTCCTGAGTCTTGATATAATGTCAAAATAGAATAGCTACAATTAGATGAGAAGGCTATTATAACAACCTTCCCTTTTCCAACTACATATCTGTGTAGAGCCAAATGTTCAACTTTTATCAAAACAACATTTGACAACAGATTGAACACAGAAGCAGATGTGACAACCTAGTTATCTTTTTTCAATAGAGAACATGTACAAAAATATAAAACAATATCATTCATTTCATATAATTCTCTCATTTTAGAAAATACCATTATCTTTTATAAGTTATGTTAATATTTAATGGTATTAGCATTACTCTATCTCAATGAATAACAAATTTTTTAAATTTCTATTTTAATTTCTGATAAGGTAAATTTTGAAAAGTATAACCTACATACACATAAGTTTTTTGGGGTCCTTGACAATATTTAAGCAGTATAGTGGTTCAAAGACCAAAAAGTTTACTTACTGATATTATCCAACAGTGACCACTTTAATAGGAAAAGAAAGTAGGAGAGGGAGAGAGCAACAAAGATTATTTTTTAAGATAAAAAATGGCAAAAGAAAGTTTCTATGAAGAAGAGATACTTGAGCAGTAATCTGAATTGAGAATGAGAGTTTTGCAAAAATCTGGGGCAAGAGCAATATATAGGCATAAGAATTAAAATATACAAAGGCCCTGAGAACTGAACTTGCTAGGTAAATTTGAAGGCCAGAATGGAAACTCCTGGGTCACTGGATGCCCTGAACACCGACCCCACCCTCACCTTCAACCCCACAGCCTGCCCAATCTTCCTTGCCTGCCCAATCTCAATCTAAAACTTCACAATGCCTGTCCTCGTCCTGTTCTAGCGAGGAAATTGCTTTTCTGTGCATGAAGTGGGACTGGGGACTTGCACTGAACTCCTGAACCAGACCAGATGCCAGCTTGCCCTAATCCTGAGGATCTCGAGGTGGAATAAACAGGGCTCTTGCCACAGGGAGGGATAGAGAGAATACCAGTTGTCACTCAGACCATGACTCTCGGGCCACCTCCCTTTAGCTGTAAGGTGGTAATAAGAAATTACTAATAAATGTTTTTTTTTAATGTGTTTGTAAATGATTTACTGGTTTCCCTAATTTAAAACAAGATAGAATAAAGTTCAGAAAATTAAATCCCATCCTGGTTCTATCACCAGCATATTCTAAATACTCAACAATTTAATGGTTATAATTGTAAGCATTGTTAACAATAGCACATCCTGCCTTCCCACGCATTGCTTTTTGGAGACTGGGGTCATTATACAGAACATGTACCTATACCTGGGTCTTTCTGGGAGCTTGCTGCATAGCACATGAAGACCCTATAAAAACTATACTGAAACTACCGCTGTGCTGACACTAACTAAATATTGATTTAACACTTATTTTCTTACATTCAACTATTCTCATAGCAGTTTCAGATTTTTATTTTGTTTTGTTTTAAATATGCGGCCAGGGTCTCCCCTGGTGGCCCAGGCGGTTGAGCGCCACGCTGTGAAGCTGTCCGCAGCCTCTGCAGTGCCAGTTCGATCCCAGCCAGCGAGGGTCCCATATGGCGCAGCAGACCTCTCCTGTCTCGCCTGCTGCTCCCGTCAGCAGTGTATTTCGTCAGTCTGCCTGTTCTGCTCTCTGCTCTGTCTCTGGTGAATCCTCTCACCCTCCCGTGCATCTGGCCTGTACCCCGGTTCTTGTATAAATAAATAAATAAATCTTAAAAAAAAAATATGTGGCCAAAAAACACAAAGTAGAAATAAACAACAACAACAAAAAAAAACTTTTCAAACTCAGAGGTTTTTTTCTAATTTTTTTCTAATTTGTTATAGCTTCTTCATAAGTTTTGACAGTCATAAATTTATTTTTTGGTGTCTTTCTAGAGCTAACACTTGTTGGATTTGCCCCTGCTGCTACGTTATTTCATTATTACACGTTATATATTTCAAAAGAACCACCTGGACTATCTTAAATGTTAAAGCGGGTTTTTTTTAAAGGAGATGGATATGTTTGTCTTGATTGTGGTGGCGGCTTCACAGGTAAATACATATCAAAACTTACAAATTTTATACTTTAAATATATGCAGTATTTTGTATGTCAATCATATCTCAATAAAACTTTTAAAAATAAAAAGTGAGTTTGTTTTGTATTGAGATTTGTATGTCTCTCCTAGGAATAACTGGATACCTACATTGGGATATATGCAATGCCTTCTATTTGCCCTCCAAAGCCACTCTGCCTTTTGTCCTCCTCGCTGCCCTGGGAAGCTGACCAATGGGGATTTCAGTTTTCAGCTTCCGATTGGGTTCAGTTAACCGGAAGCCCCAACAGGAGATTAGAGAGAGGGAGATGAGTGGCTTCCAAGTGCCAGACTCTGCCTCTCACAGCAGATCATTCTGCAGGCAGCACTGGCTACAGGATTCTCTCTCTAGAGTTGCGCCCCTTCCTTCCTCCTCCTGATCTAGAGAAAATAACAGCTTTACCAAGTTACTATATTATCCTATGTGTCCTGTCCCTCCCCACCTCACCCCATACATTGATACCTTTTAAAATAGTCCCTTTGTAAATAAACCTTCCCTAGTTATTCTAAAATATTTCTTTCTAGCTGGAATGCTGGCTAAGATGTTACAATACCCAGGCTAAGGAAGACACACACACACACACACACAGAGAGAGAGAGAGAGAGAGAGAGAGAGAGAGAGAGAGAGAGAGAGAGAGAGAGCACTTTCTCTCATAGGATTCTACTGGTTAACATTAGAAGTTTACCCGATCAAGAATTAACCCTGAGTTCGAAAACTCCATAATATACACTAATTGGCACACAGAGCAGGATAGAAAGATAACATTTTAAGGAATGCAAAAGACCAATGGAAATAAATGCTCAGTGCAAATTTTGTTAAATGGAAACCTCATCCATCACATGCAGAGCACTAACTCTGATGGCTATAAAGCACTGTCAAGGATGCTGTGTGATTCGGCTTTACTAAGCCATGGGCACCAAGCCATGTGGTCAGCTGAAGCCTGCCTCTATTATCTACAATCATATGGAGCAGAGAATTTGTTCTTTTCAGTTCCTGAGAATTTATTTGACAAAGCATTTTTATGGCATTACTGGGGAAGCAGAAGCCAAACTATGGAGCATAGCCAAAAACATGTTTTCAGACTGCTCAAACACTACTTGAGGTAAGGAAGCTGTAATGTGTAGAGAAGCAGTAAACAGGCCAATGCTGAGCAGTTCCAACCGAATGCTTTATTTTAGTGGAGAACTATAGAGCTACACCATGCTTCATGGAGCAGGATGGTAACAGGGCACCATAGGAATCAACAGAAAAAAACAAGCATCCCCTTGTAAATAAAACAGGTTTAAAACAACTCCATTGTTAACACAAAACTTCAGTGAGAGTACTTGTGACTAGAGAAGGTTCTACAGATAATACAAAAAGCCCCAGGATTCTACTGTGTGCAGCTGTTTTTTTCTTCATTAAGCCAACTCCTATCTCGAAAAATACTTCTAGGATTTTCTGGGCTGTCAAGGATTCCCTCTGCTAAGGCAGTTTGCAAATTCAGAGGCTCTGGGTTCTTTCTGTGAGATAACTGATTAGGACACCTTGCTTGTTGTATAGTCTTACTGGTTATAAACATTTATTTGATCCTGTAAGTTATCTGTGCTCTATAGGCTAGAAGTTACTATGAATTTAAAAAGCAAATGCCAATCTGGTGGGGGCGGAAAGGAGGGTATCTCCAGCATCAGAACCTGGGACATGTCCCTTTCAGGAGTTTAGGAGGTCTACGGTGTACTGATACTATTTCAAAATTCAGAGCACAATATTTCAGCTACGCTTATAATAAACCCTCCGGAAGAGCTAGGTGAACCACAGCTACACATATGGCAATGACAGCGATTTCTCTCCTCACTTCAGTAGTGTTGAGATAATATCCATTTGAACAGAAGGAAGGCTCTGTGCCATACAAGGTAAACTCATACCCTCATTGCACCCACACATTCGAGCAGCACCTCTACTACAGTACTTGAAAATTCAGAAAACTAGGCAGCTGCACCCCTCTACTTTATATACCAGAGAGCCTAGAGGGAAGCTTCCTGACTCGAACACAACCACAGAACCTGCTGGTGGTGAGCCAGGAGTTCAGAATTTCCAGCCTGTGCCTTGGCCAGTATAGGTTTTAACCACGGTCAAGTACCACTCATGCCACTTTACAGTTTATTCCTGGAGATGCCCCACAGAACAAATGGATAGTGGAGAATCTGCTCTCTCTCCCTTACGCCTTCTAAAAAGTGGTCATCTGCCTGTGTTTTGAAGCCAAGAGCTACAGAACACACATTATGTGTGTTAGGGGTCTGGCTCTGCCATCTGGCCTGGTCCTTCAGAAC